AAGAAATGTCGGGAGTTATGTTGAAGAGAATTTCATACGGAGTCTTGTCGAAGCGTTTATGGATGGATGTTCTGTTCTGGGTGAAGCACGCAGTATTGATTGCCTCTGCCCACATGAAGTGAGGCAGTCTGGATTGTATTAACATGGTGTGTGCTGCTTCAACAAGAGTCCTGTTCTTTCTCTCAACAACTCCGTTATGTTGGGGAGTTTTAGCTGCTGCAAATTGCTGAGTGATACCGAGAGATTCATAGAAATCAGTTAGAGTTTGATTTTTGAACTCGGTACCATTGTCAGTTCTTACTATTCGAACACTGTGTTGTAGCAGTTTCTGGATGGTCCTGATAAAGGTCATAATGTTTTCTGCAGCCTCGTCCTTTGAGCGGAGAAATTTTGTCCATGTGTACCTAGAGAAGTCATCAACGATCACCAGAGTGTATTTGCGGTCGTTGATGCTTTGGACTCTCATAGGTCCACACAGATCCATGTGAATTAACTGCAGCTGGTGAGTAGATGATGGTACTGTTTTTGACTTGTGGGAGCTTCGCGTCATTTTGCCCATTTTGCAGGCACTACAATGATTTTCAGCGGAAGACTTTAACAGAGGAAGCCCCTTGACAAGTTTCTTGGAGGACAGGATTGATAGATGCTTGAAGTTCAGATGGGAGAGACTTCTGTGCCAAAGGTTGTTCTGTTCTGTTGAAGCTTTGGATATCAGACAGATGGAAGTGGTGGATTGTACACTTTTCAGATCAATAGTGTACAGATTTGAAGTTCTGTAACACGTTAATAATGTATTCCCCATGTTGTCTAGAACACAGCATTGTCTTGCAAAGAACCTCACTTCCATCCCGTTGTCACAGAATTGCCCTATGCTCAGTAAATTGTGTTTGAGCCCTTTGACAAAAGAAACATCTTTGATAGTGACACTGGCACAGATGACGTCCCCATACCCAAGAATAGGACATGAGGCGTCATTCCCAAATCTGACATTGCCTCCGTAACAGTTGGTGTAGTTGCTCAACATGTGTTTTATTCCAGTCATGTGGGTTGAGCATCCTGAATCTAAGTGTCACACATGACCGTCCTGCAAAACAATTAAACAGGTTTAGGTACCCATCTTGGAGTGGGTCCTTCCTTATCAACAAAAAACACCTTTTTAAATCTTGCTTTTAGCTGTGATCCAAGGTCAGCAGCTTTTTCAACAAAAGATCTTTCTTTCGCGGGCTCTCTAAAAGCCAGATCTGCTTTTGCAGTGGGTCTGGATTTTGGAGCCCACTTAGCAGTTTCCATTTTGGTGGGTCTGATATTGTGAACCCACCTTTCCGTTTAAGTTTTGGTGGGTCTGAGTTTGGGGACCCACCTTTCAGTTTCAGGCTTGGTAGGTCTCATCTTGGGGACCCACCTTTCAGCTTCAGTTTTGGTGGGTCTGTTTTTGGGGACCCACCTGTTATTCATTTTAGGAGGAGAGTAGACATGTGTTTTGTGATTGAATGGTTGTTTCTTAAGTTTGGTTTTAAAAATTTCCTCTTTAGAAAGCCGATTAAGATGTTTACTTGAATGAACTTGAAGGGGATATTTCATATCAGGTATACAAAATATTCCCTTAGAAGTTCTGTTCTCGGTTTCCCTTTTTGGTTTGAGCTTTCTGTGAGGCTTTTCTTTAACAACATTCACATCACATTCATAATTATGAGGGTCTGGAACAGAATAACCATAAGCAATACTTGAATTATGAATTGATCGATGTCTAGAAGATGTCTCAGAAATATTCAGCTTGGGACTCAAGACTGAACTACTAGAAGTTTGTTTCTTAGAGACAGAATTACAGTTAACTTTAGAATAAAAAATAGAATTGGATCTAGAGCTGGCTTTATTTTCAAAAACTTTCTTTTTGCCTTCCGCGATTTCCTCCCTCTTCTTCCTCCACTCGCTCTTCTCTTCTCCTTCCTTATTCACTTCTTTACCTGTAAGCAAAGGAGAAGAGTGATGAGTGGACGAACTTTTTGAAAGCTTTGTTTTCTCAGGTGAGGTGTGTGAACTGTCAGACTTATTATTAGAAGTAGAAGGGCCTGTTTTAGCATGATATTGCTCACTTAATTCATTGAATTTTTGAAGAAGTTCCTGCCAGTTACTCTCAAAACCTCTCTTTTCTGTTTCAAATCTTTCTCTCTCGCTGTCAAGAGTTTTCTGGAGGTTTTTGAGTTTTTGAGCCATAGGAAAAAAAAGGGTTCCTCTCCAACTTTAGAGATACCTACTCTTGGGGGTACGTCTAGAGGATGTCCTATGTGTGGAATATCTTTTGCATAAGGGTCAAGACATTCACTAAAGCAGGAACTAGGTTCTTCTTGTGTGAGTTGTTTTTCATTAACAGAAGGATAATCACAAGAAATCGCAGCTTTAGGGTTCTTTCTCTTTTCTTCTTCTGCTTCTGCGTTTTCATCATCACTTCTAAAAAACATTTTTTCACCAAACCCTAGTCCCATGTAATCTTTGTTGTAAATTTGAAGACATTTAACTTTCTTTAGATTACATGGGTTGGTTATGCCCAGTCCTATTCTAGGATTGTAAAATCGGTCATCCTTTATTCGATTAAGAAAAATTGTCTGTTCAGACTGACCTCTCCTAGGAGCTAGATCCTCTAGTTCTTTTATTTTGTTTAAAAGTGTTCTTCTTTTATTATGCAAAAAATCGCATTCAGCCTTTGCTGTGCTTTTTTCTCGTTCACTATCCTCAAATTTCTTAGTTAATTCAGCTACCTTAAGTTCAAAACTTTCAAAATCTGAGGACACCTTTTTGACCTGATCTTTCGCAATTTCAAGTTGAACACTTAGAGAAGACTTTTGGTCTAGATTCTGTTTCAGTACCCTGTGATTATTGTCTAATCTCTCCTTTAGTTTTTTAATTAGATTGTCCTTCTCAAGTAAGGACTGATTTTGATTATTTAAAGGGATATGAGAGGTACTTACAGAGCTTGTTGAGCATTCACTGTCGGGGATCGCAGCATCACCCTTTCTTTCATCTTCTTCCTCCACTCGTGCCATCAAGGCATAGTTTTCTTCTTCCTCCTCCTCATCAGAAGTATCTTCTGCCCAGTGATCATTCTCAGCAAGCATTGCAGAAGTTTCTTCTTCTTTCTGCACCATCAGCATCTTCTGCTTATTCCACAGCATCTTCTGCTTGTAGAAGTTTGCATCCTTCTTCTTTGGGAGGCGGCAATCTTTGATGACATGTCCAGCCTTTCCACAGTTGTAGCATTTGGGGGCATCTTCGGCTGATGACGCCTTCCTAGAAGATCCTTGATCATGGTTCTTTTGTTTATAATTTGAGGAGGAGATTCTCAGCTTGTTGGAGGAGCTATTCTTCTTTGCAAATCTCTTGGCAAGCAGTGCCATCTTCTTCTGTAAGTCTGCAAGCTCAGCCTCCAGATCAGATTTGTCATCATCACTCTCATCTTCATCTGATTCAACCACCACCTTCTTCTTCTTCTTTTTCATTGGTGTGGTTGTCCTTCGGGGCTGAGCTTCCATCACTAGAGCCAAGGGATTTGAGCTGTGATGATCCTCGACACAAGCAACCTCATTGACAAATTGCTTCAGATGTTCATAAAGAGTGCAGAGGTCAATTTCATCCAAGTCAATGCGTGATCTAACATCCTTCACTGTCTTTTCCCATGCAGGATGTAAGCTGGATAGAAATCTTATATTCAGTTCCAAGTTGGACCTGAATACTTTGATTTTTCTTAGTTCATTGACCAGTTGGACGAGTCTGTTGTAAGTCTCGTTCAATGGTTCTCTCTGGCCGGCTTTGAAGGAGTCATAAGCAATAAGGATTGTTGTCTTTTTGGTTTTAAGGCTGATGCTTGTGCCTTGGAGCAATCTCTCTATCTCATCCCACATTTCCTTTGCCGTTTGCATGCTGTCGATGAGAACATATACTTCGTTAGGGATTGCTTGAAGGAGGTACGTCTTGGCCATGAGATCACCTCGAAGCCTGAGCTTGTCAGCTTCGGTATATTCAGATGCTACTTTCCGTCTCCTTTCTGGAGGAATAGGTGGTTGTTTTCTGGATCTCCACCAACTGAAATCATCAGTTCAGCTGGTCCTTCAAGCAACGATTCAAGCATCGCGGCGGAGTTTTCTTTGTGCTCAAGGAAATTAAGGAATCGATTCCTCCACATCTGGTATTCTCCTTTCCTGAGACTGGAAGGAGTACTGCTGTTCCCTTGGGCATTGAATTCTGAGGCCATTGCTGTATAAAACTGACCGTTCGAGATAATTGATCAAAAGATTTTCAGAGGCAGAATGTCGAAAATCAGATGTCGAGATCTGAATATCGAGATCTATGATTTCGATAAAGGAGGCCCGGTTTCGAGATTTGATATCGAGATTAGGATGTCGAGTTTTGAAATCTCGAGATTTCAAATGTCGAGAAGTAAATCTCGAGATTTGAGATGTCGAGAAGTGAAACTCGAAAAATTATTTCGAGAAGTCAAATGTCGAGACCAGAAGTCGAGACCTTAAAATCGAAACCTCGATCTCGAGATTTGGATGTCGAGATCCTCAATGTCGAAATCCTGCAAACTGTAAAAATCAGATAAGCAAAATCTGAAGGTCGTTTCTTGTAGAGTATGATGTCAAGATCCTCAGGAGAAGTTTTCAGCTCGAAATACTTGGTAAAACCTGTTCAAACCCTAGATGTCGACATATGGTACTCGAAAAATCTCAAGTACAAAAAATGCAGGAAAAGAAATCTGAAGTATACCCCTTGATCGCTTCGAAACGACGATTCTAAGGGTGTAACTTTTACAATTTTTAACAAGAAACAAGATTACAGACAAAGAACTCGACAGAAAAAAACAACGTGAAAAACAGAGGTTTTCTGCGGGCGTTCTTCTGATCGGTTCTCGATCGACTCTGATACCAATTGATAGTCCCTATTTCTATAACAGCAATGAATAGCAGTATAACAAAGACGATTAACAGTAAAGATGAACACAGATGAATCGATGTAAACTCTCTTTGATATACCGTGAACTCGTACACAGAAGTATTTGCGCTAAGGCTATTTTGAGCGAGTACGAAAGTTAACCTAAACGTGAATCCTCGGCTCCCTTTTTATAGGCGAGGTTCAAGTATGCGAATAAAGCTTTTAGCCTTTAGTATGGGCCTAACACTTGGCCCATATTCAATATAATACATACACATATTTAATACAAGGAATAAATAATAAAGCTAATCTATTACAAGATAGGTGACAAACTTGATTCACAATTAAATGATCTTCAACATGCCTTGAGAAAGCTTTATAGTTTTTTTCCAACAACTCGATTGTTATAAAATTTCACTTTGAGTTTCTCTCCTTTCTTCAAATTTAATACTTCGTTGCATTTATTTCTCCCTCTTGCCTTTTTCTTGCTTCTTTTGGAAGTTGAACCTGAAAATCATCATTTGATATCATAAAATTATAACAAGAGAGAAAAATAATAACATACTAATATTTTGAGGGAGTTACCCTTATTATTTTCTCTGGACATACTCTTGGACGTCGGTTGAACTTCATTGGGCATAGGTATTGGACTTGGAGGCACCAGTGAATCATTACCTACGATATTGAAATGCTAAAAGTGAGAATTTTAATTTTTAATAGAATAAATATGTGCAGGCAATTGATGTTCTTTAATGAATGAGTATTACCAAACTCACGGTTATGCTCTAGCAGCTTATAAGAAAACGGTGGGCGCGTATCATCCCTGTATAGATAAATGTATATGTTTTCACGACCCGCATGTTGCTTGAGCATATTAGTCACACCCAGATCACATCTTAGTGGCCTCCCATCTCCATCAATTATCTTTATTCCAACAGAGTACACATCAACAAGCTTATGACACATAGCCAAAATATCCAAGAAACAATTGTCTTCACTAAAATCCTTTTCGTGGTATTCTGCTTCTCCAAAGCACAGGATGACATTATGGGAAGTAAAATCACGTTATGAAAATGACAATATTAGAACTAGACCAGTTTATATATTAAACAAATCTAGTACAAAAGATTGAACCAGTTGAAGGCATAAATACTTTACAAAAGTCTATAGTGACATTTTCCGCACTTTATCTACTGCTCCTTTAAAAGCTCCATTAAGAGTATTTCCAGTATTATTATTTCCTTTTCTGCATTCGGCATTAGATGTACCTATAGTAGAGTTATGGGGGAGCATTGATCGAAATCCTTGTCCACGACCTCTACCTAACATTCATAATATAAGTTTACTTGTGAATAAAATCTAGGCTAAAGGGTCAAATAGGTACATGAACTAACTTAAAGTGTTCAATTAGCCCCTTATATAGGAGGTTCTTCTCGGCCGTCGCCAATTGGGGCGATTACCGGTGGAATTTTTTGATGAAATTTTTTGAACATCTTCTTCATTAAGTCTAGTTTACCTATACCAAATTTCAGCTAAAACTTCAACCAGGAAGGCAGTCAAAAGATTTTTTGAAGATAACTGCGCAGTTAAACAGCGCAGTACATTTCGGAAAATCATTTGACTGCCTTCCCGATTTATTTTTTAGCCGAACTGTGATTTGGGTAAACTAGACTTAATGAACAAGATTCTCAAAAAATTTCATCAAAAAATGCCATCAGGAACCGTCCCAATTGGCGACGTCCGGACAGAACCTCCTAAATAAGGGGCTAATTGAACACTTTAAGTTAGTTTACGTACCTATTTGACCCTTTAGCCTAAAATCTATATATCTATAGTACAAATTTATTCCCAGTATAGTACCTATTTTCAAACCACCATTGGGAGTAGTTGAACCTGAAAATAAACATTTGATATCATAAAACTATAAGAAGAGAGAAAGATAATAACATACTATTATTTTGAGGGTGTTACCTTTATCCTTTTCTTTGGACATAGGTGTTGAACCTCTTTGGGCATAGGTGTTGGAATTGGCGGCACCACTGAATCTGTGATGTTAAAAAGATAAAAGTGAGATGCTTAATTTTTAAATGATAAACATGTCTTGAGAATTTATGTTCATTAAAGTATGAGAATTACAAAGCTCATGATTATGCTCTGACAGCTTATACGACAACGGTGGGCGTGTATCATCCATGTATAGATATATGTACTACCTTCGTTCCCATTTTAACTTCCAAATGAGTTTGGCACAAAGTTTAAGATAGTGGATATTGTGTGGTGGAGAGTTGTGCAGAGGAGAGAGAAATGTGTAAGAAATGTTGTGAACCACAAATTTTTTACCAAAAAGGGAAAGTGGAAGTTTTAATTGGAACGGACGAAAAAAGAAAATTGGAAGTTTATTTAGGAACGGAGGGAGTATATATTTTCAAGACTCACATGTTGCTTGACCATATTAGTCACATCTGCATCACATCTTAGTGGCCTCCCTTCTCCATCAACCATCTTTATTCCAACAGAGTACACATCAACAAGCTTATGGCACATAGCCAAAATATCCAAGAAACCATTGTCCTCATTAAAATTATTTTCGTGGTATTCTGATTCTCCAAAGCATAGAATGACATTATGGGAAGTAAAAGCACATTGTGGAAAAGACATCATCAGAATTGGACCAGTTTAAATATTAAATAAATTTAGTACAATAGATTGAAACGGTTGAAGGCATAAATACTTTACCAAAGTCCCTAGCGTCATTTTTAAGTGCTTGAACCCTTTTTTGCCTCTTAAAGTGAAAAACGTTATCTGCAAATTGAGTAAAATATTAGCACAAGAAATAAGAAGAAATGTCTAATAAACAAATCAGAACTGTAATGCATCGTTGAGATCACTATTTATACTTACCAGGCTCCCAAGTTTTCCTTCCATGTAGTGAACTGCCTGAAGTCATTCCAGAGTTATGAGAAGCCATTGTATGTAGTCCTTTCACACATAATATTTCATTTGTTAATCAATTTGTAGGCTTAGAAATAGCTTATTTGTTTTTTAGTTCCTACTTCATAATTTCATATTTAAATACATAAACAGACTGTCATGATATAATGTCTTTTTACTACTGATATAACAAAAACTAGCTAATTCCCTTTTTATAACAAATAGCGAAAGAGAAGCCCCAACGCCAACAGTGCGTAACCAATTCCAGCTGTAACAGTCGTAGGTTCAACTCTAAGTTATGACTTGGGATGAAACATCACTCTGTTTCCATCAGAGTGTGATCAAAGCTCAACTTACATCCTCTCATATAACTCTTGGTCAGTTCTGGGGCCCTCAAGGATGGAGTGTCATCCTTTTTTAGATGAGTGACCAATTAAATGAGCCACACCACCGATCCACGACCCGCCGGTCCCTGTCCGGCCCAGTCGACGACCTGGTGGTCCTTGCCCGGCCCGATCAACGACCCCGCGGTCCTGGTCCGATCCGGTGAATGACCAGGCGGTGCTTGTTCGGTCCAGTCGACGACCTGGTTGTTCCGGTCCGATCCGGTCTAGTCAATGACGCAGTGGTCCTTGTCCTTTTTGTTCAATGACCCGATGACCTCTGTTCGGTCCGGTCAACAATTGGGCAGTCTTGGGATGATCCCGTCAACGACCCGCGGTTCCTGTCTGGCCCGGTCGATGATCCAGCAGTTAGGTCTCCGTTTTTTAAATCATTTTTTAAAGTGAAGAGTTTCATGAGTTGCCAACGAAGAGGGAAAAGGGAGAAAATACTCAAACTAGTTGTTGGGATCGTTCGGGATCGGACTGGCCTGTTTATGTAACGACCATCCCCAAACGGCCATTATGATACTCAACATAAACCAAACTCGATATACAAAGCGGAAAATAAAGATACAAAGTCTCGTCATGAAACTTTATTTCTTATATACATAAGCAAACTTCATAACGAAATATGTCAATTGACAAACAACAACCATTTGTAAAATAAAGTCATCACACCTGATCAGGATTTTTAAAACAAAAAGATAAACAACTCATAAAAGTGTCATATAACAATAACAAAACATGAGGCACAGTCAGGTCTTCTCCGTTAACCCATCCACCACTTCACCACCCAACCTGAACATTCTCTCAGGCTTCCATTCTTCAATCATTACCTATACATGAGGACACGAGAGGACAAAAGTCTCGTAAGCAAAATTTGGTTAGTAAGTCACCATTACATCCACTAAAATAACGGAGTCTTAGCTAGCCATAATTAGATACATAAGCTAGAATACTCCATACATAGCATATTCACACACCTATGCATATCATGTAAAGCACAACTTCACGTAACGAAATCTAAAAGATTTCCTCATTCATCATTATTTCTTCCTATCTTGCTACTTGACTTGATGGGCCTGTAGCTCGTGTCCTAGCCCCACGCTAATGACCTTGGGTAGCTAGCCCGCAGCCATCCGAAGTAATCCCGGGATTCCTCGCAGAAGGAGATCCTGCTCCATTCAGCTCAGATGATTACTTGGGGGACGGCTACCTTAGAGCATTTCTTATTATTCATTAGATATCATTATCATCACAACTTTCATTCATTGTGGGATTCCATATAAATCCAACCTATCCATGAACATAGAACTTGGATACCTTACACTGATAACTCCACAAGTTCTCGATCCACATCACCTATAAACACATACACATAACAGGGCATTCACATAATCTTATGCCAAACAAATTCAAGTGTTCAAGCAAATCTATCCAATTCATAGACGGCTAGACTTCCATGTTTCATTTCAAACTATCATGCATAGGTGGTGATGACTTACCTGATTCACGTGGAGTATTTACCCGGTGTGTGCTTGTAGAACTTTTACATGCAACGGTTCTTCGATGAACAACTATATATATCATTTACAATTGATCAACATAATTTCATGTTTTTAACCAAAACCTTAAGACTTAGGAACAATAGGAACTCAACAAAACCAGCCCCCGAATATGGTAGACTTCTAAGACTCCTATACCTCAACCGGTCAAATTCTCGGGTAATTAGACAACCAACACCCGATTGAACTTCATACTCAAGAGTCAACAACAACTAACCAATAACCATACTATTAATATTTCTACACATCTACTTAAAATCAGCCTATACATATTAAGAAGATTCCCTAAATTCTTTCATCAAATTGACATAGTTTTGATATAGCTAGTTATTCAAGAATAGATTTAAAAACTTGTTAAACCAAGGATAAACAACCACTCTACAACACTCCTATCATCCATAACATCCATTAATAGTTAGAATCAACCCAAAATTCACTCAACTCTAGCTTAAACCAAAAACCTGGACCATAGATCAAATTATGGGAAAATTACTTCATGTAAGGTGTAAAATCTTACCAAGTGATGATTCTTGATGAATAATAGACTTAGTTTGAGCTTGAACCAGTCTAGTTAGGGTTTGGAAATGAGTTTGTAGAGAGGGGATCGAGCTGGGCTTCGTTTTGGGGAAAAGGGGATTTTTCCCATTTAAATACGCCGTACACGGACCTGGGCAAAAATCGCATGACCGGCGCCGGTCATGGCCCAACCGGCGCCGGTTGCCCTGCATTTCCACCGCCCTTAAGTTCTGATTTGGACCGGCGCCGGTCCGGGTCCAACCGGTGCCGGTTTGGGCTTCCCCGGTTGCCGAAAATGTCCTTTTTCGCCCTAAACCGACCCCGATTATTGGCCGATCCCATCCTTGATCCTCGGTGACAATTTAACTACATTTTAAACACCCAAATACTATCTAACATGACAAATGATTCATACCATTTCACCCGAAATAAAAATGATTATTATGGTGTCGTTTGGTTGCTCATCGGGTACCATCGCCTGTCATGATAAAGCATATTTCAAGTATGTAAACCAAATACAATTATCACCAAGTTCATAATCACATGATATTCATATACTTCACATATATAGCATTCAAACCATAAGTTAAAACATGATCATATATAAAATTAATTAGCACAAAAGAAGTAGCTAAAAAGTACGGGCGTTACAGTTTCAATCCCGACTTTTCTATACCCGGGATCGGGTACCCTGCTATTTGGGTTGTACTAAGTTCGATTCCGGATTGGGACCGTAATTTCGATCTTCCGCTTGGTCACAGAAGCGGGTGAAATTTTTTTATGAACATGTGAAAAATGGAAAACTAAAAAATGAAAATAGAAAATTGGAGATAGAAAAACATAAAAATGAAAACAGAAAATTGGAGAACGTAAAACAGAAAAGAAAACTGGAAAATATATGTGTTAGTATTTAGTAAACATGCTCTAACCTTTTTGTAAAATCGGAACATCTGAGACCATTTGTTACTTTGTTTCCTAGTTTGGGTGAACACTTTACATTTTTATAAATTTTACATGCATATATATCTTGTGTTGTATTTGTGTATTTGATTTGATTTTTTTTTTTGCATTCACTCCCGATTGTATTATAATAGTTCTTTGATTCTGATAGTTTCCTATTTGTGATATATTAGTAAATTTTGCCATGTATTTCACATATGGGATAATTTGAGTTTGCATCCCATTTTATTGTGCAAATTGGACTTTGCACCCCGTTTTAAAAATTCATTGTTTTTGCACCCTAACCCCATATGAAAAGACAAAAATGCCCTCGATCAGGAATATGTTGACGGTCAACAAAACTGTTAATGGAGGGGCAATTTTGTCTTTTCATTTGGGGTTGGGGGCGCAAAAAATGGGATGCAAAGTTCAATTTGCACAATAAAATGGGGTGCAAACTCAAATTCCCTTCACATATTTATATGCAATATCATATTTCACATATTCATATACACGTGAAAATGAATTATATTTTTGTCATATCTGAAGTAAATTAATGTTTTTGTTAAGATTGGAATAGTAAATATGCAAAGCATTGATGACGTAATCATAATCCAATCTCAAGAAAATTAGATTGGCAATACTAAATTGTCCACAATTTATACCCTGGGATCGGCGCATCATGAGGATGGTGTGCCTGATCCCAAAACGACGCAGCATTCATTATTTTTTTTTCATTTATTGTTAAAAATTGTAATAACTTTTTTATTTGATATCCGATTTTTATAAATTTTATATCATTTTTTTTTATTTTTCATGATCTATCAAATGAGACCAATATTGTTTATGTAATTTTAACAAATTATTTTGAAGTTACATTTGATAATATATCATGAAGTTACATCTTCTTCTGCGCGAGTTACATCTTATTGTACGCGAGTTACATCTTAATATACACGAGTTACATCTTAATGTATGTGAGTTACACCATGAAATAAACTTCTGCTACATCTTTCATTTTTATCATTTGAAAAATAGTGTATGAATATGAAATACAATATACTTATTTTATGTGGATTAATAAAATTTTGTATTAAATTGGCAAAGAAAAAAATTAATTCAGTTATAATTGAATTAGTTCAAGATAAAGATAAGTAAAAAATCACAAATCATTAGATATAACTCCCACATAATTACATGTAACTCGCGCATAAAAGTATGTAACTCGTGTATAACAAGATGTAACTCACACATAACAAGATGTAACTCACACATAATTACATGTAACTCTTACATAAAAGTATGTAACTCATGTATAGCAAGATGTAACTCACACATAACAAGATATAATTCACACATAATAACTTGTAACTGGAGTATAAGATGATGTAACTTCGTATATTATCAAATGTAACTCCAAGCTAGAAGCAAAATAAACAAACTCAATATCTTAAAAACCTCTAAAACATATAAAAGTGATAAAAAAATATATTATAGAAAAAGTGTATGCATATAAAAATATATTACAAAAAATGTATGAATGTGAAAAATTAAAATTACATAGGCAATATTGGGCTCATTTGAAAGATCATGAAAAATAGAAAATTTTGGTATAAATTTTATAAAAATCGGATCAAAAATAAAAAAAATTATTAACAATTTTAAGAAAATGAGAAATAAAAAAAACAAAGGGTGCATGGTGCTCACCATGCACCGGTACCACGGTATAAGCACGGTAAATTGTCATACATAAGTCTAATTAGAGACATTTTG